CCCAACTATGGTCCAGCCATGGAGTTCCTTGCCACATGGCAGCTGGGTGCACCAGTGATGATTTTTGTCGGATTGGTGTTCTGTAGAAATCCGGAAAATTCCAAGATACAGAGGACTACATAGTATCATATCGTCATCATCTGGACATATCATAATAATTCATAATATATGTAGCACACACCATATCATAATCCATCATATATATATATAACTATATAGATACTACATCACACTACAGAATATTACATATGATGTCATACGAGATACGTTTAATGTATGCTACTATTGGTAAAGCCAGTAGAAAACACGTGTCCTCGGGTTTACCAACAGCGAGGTGAGGACGTTGACGCTGGCACCCCTGGCCCTGGCAGTTGCTGAGCCACAGACCCGAGGCCTCGGTTTTTTCCCTGGAGAAAATGTGTATGGTACCATGGTACCCTTCCAAAAAAGATAGAAACCTTGAAAACCTGGTATGTCAATGTATTTTATACCATCCTGGAAATACGTTTCTATCTTTTTGGGGGGTGCTATGTATATATATATATATAGATAAATCAGATCACGAACTCACCGATATCACCAGAATGATGAAGTCGCGGGCCTTGATTTTAGGATCGACCAAGCCATGGACCTTTGGACCTTGAATTTGAATCGCAGCCATACGGGCAATGAAATTAAATAAATCATCCTTAGGTAGGAGATTCACAATAATGAATCACAAGTTGGGATGGATGATGATGGATTTTTATTGGTCAGGGGGATCGGTCAGGCGTTCCAGAGCCCGCAGTGTGCGCGGCCCTGGGACCTTTGGGCATTTATGAGGCTTGGAGAAATTCATAGGTCAAGACCCTGGTATGGTGAAAACATGTGAAAACTAAAAATCACCTGTAAATGGATGTTCATTATATATAAATATATTATATACCCCACACATGATACAATATAGGTTATGATTCGTCCTGGTCTGAAGCATGTTGGAGACTTGTCCGTCGTTTTCCGTCCGCTGTTAGGAGGAGGGGAGCAACAGAACTGTTAGGCTGTTAGGCTCCCTGTTTTTCACGAGAAAAATGATGAGCCTATTATTCCCAGACCCAGGGACATTTTGAACATGTTTGAACATTAATCGCAGCGAGATGGGAGGAAGGCTAGCGATTCGGGATTCGACCGGGAGATCAGAGGGATGGTACTTGGAGTTTCGAAAACATGGTTCCACAGTTCCTGAACCATTGGGGTTCTTGTTTCAAAACTGATCAAACAACACTGCTGACATTTGCTGACTATATTGTTTCTTTATGTGTCTTTGCTGATCCAAATTTTGAAGCTCAAATAAAAGTAACAATCCAATCAGATTGGATTTACATATCTAGATCTATAGATCTATCTAGCAAGATCATGGGAGAGTTGTCGCCAAGGAGCAGATCTTCCGCGACATCGGGCGCTATGCGAATCTGGACCTGCAACGTCTGGCTCTGTACGATGGCTTCTGCCTTCGGCGACGCAGGGCCTGTATTCGACTGCGAGTGGTGGATGGAATTCCCTACGTTTTAGACATGTTTCTCGGAGGTTTTTGAGTTGATGTTGATCATATTTTTAAATTCGACTGCAGTGTAACTGTGGGATACATAAGACATCATAAGACAATAATGACTGGCATTCCATGTTTGAGTAGTCGGCTGTTAGATAGTTCCGAACGACATAGGAGAATCCACCCTGCCCTGAGGAATGAAATGTGCGTGTTCCCCCCACCAAGCACCAATATCCTAGATGTGGAGGTTTCCTTTTCGCAGAGCACCGTTTTTGTCACGGCAAGTAATTTGCGCACAGAGTTCATCTGAAGATGTGTTAACATTTCCGAATTTCCTCAAGCTAATAGTCACAGCTGGAGCTGAAAAACTCGCCTTTCGTTGCTTGTATTCCGATGTGCCTTGCTTGAAATTGGGTCAAAGTCCTCATTCTTTTGGGTGTAAATCACCTTAAAACATCTGCAAAAACTCAGATTTCATCATGAATCATCTGTCATTTCAGTTGTGGAATCGCGGTCAGGTTTCCAGGTTACCAAAGTCGTTCCTTGGAAAAGACGGGCGGATTCGGACCTGGGAGTTTTCCAAACACGACTGTTGGTTGATGATTTGTTTGGGGGTTATACTACCTGGTTGATGGTTTGGAACATTTTTTTATGTTTCCTTATTTTGGGAATAATTATCCATAATCATCCCAACTGACTAATAATTAATATGTTTTTTAGAGGGGTAGGTCAACCACCAACCAGTCAATATATTGAATATTATCATCATCCATGACTGGAATCCCATGGAATCCCCATGAACTAACTTGGCTGGCGATCCGGGCAGGGAAGATCCCAGTCATGTGGGGGCCCAGACCTGCAGCAATGGTTGACGGCTGCTGGGTGTTCATTGAGGTGTTGCGCCTTTGAAGTGCAGTTCCTGCCATAAGAGGACATAAATTAATAAAACTAAATGATTATAAATGTAAATATAAATATATATTATATATATATATTTATACACCATAGTTTTAGGGCTTTTAACCCAACCTTTGGATGGTATTACGAGAGTTGCATGGTTGTAGTCATCCTGGAGTAGATATGGGACTGGCCAAAAACAAACGCTAAAATGAGAATATCTTTGAACACCCTAGGTCACCGCAGCATCCTACACGCCCTCTGGCGGGTGCTTGTGCGCTTTGGGCCGCTCCCCAATCTCGAGGCGTTTTTTCCAGAATTTTCAGAATTTTCCAGGTTCGCCACCCAAAAATATGAAACTCTTCAAGTTTGCCAAAAAAAGGAACTTTTTTCAGTGTTGCTCCAGCCCACTAGAAGTGATTCTACATCCTTAACCCGCCATTGAACTCCTCAAACATATTCTATCTGGGGTGCTGGGAGCCCTGTCAAACTGGTAGGTGACCATTGATGTGACTGACGGCGAGCTTCAAAACATCGATTTGCCCATCTTGGTAATCACACACAAGAAAGAGGTGCCGGGGAATGCCTGGTAACCGGTATTTTGATGTATTTTGGGTGACATTCACCACCAAGAATTGGCGAAACCATTGATATATTACATAAGCAATAGTATCTGGCAATGAACATATTACTGAAAAAAATACGTGGGTTCATGTTTGTTTTCAGCCATGTGAATGTCATGATGATCACCGCTGACCAGTATCATCATGGCAACACTGCACTTGACCTTGCCCACTTGATTTCTAGAGTTTAATTTGTCACATAAAATAGGTTGCTCACCAGGCTCACCCGTATTTTATATAGGTTTGTCTAAAAATGCGGACCGCCCCACTAGAGTTGCAATATAGAACCAGCTGAATTTATGGGGTACCCATGGCCAACACAGGGTGGACTAGTGCACTCTTCGGCACGGCACTGACCTATCCCGGATGCATGTCCCAAAGGAAGAGAAATGGAGCATCCCAAAAAATGTTATTCAATTCAATGATATTAATTACAGTTGGTATGACATCGTTATACTATTGCTATTATAATACATATGACATATATATATATTTTATATATTGCCAATGCATTGCTATTACTCTAGTATATTGACATGATAATATATTATATACGGCCAAAAAAAAACACATCGTCAGAAAACCTCAGAAAACCTTCAGACTCTTCAGACTCGGATCGGATCGGACGATCGAACAGAGGAGCCTCGCGGAATTCTTTATCCCGACTTCACCTTCTATTCCTGGCCCGAATCCACGTGTCCTCCCGAGATATCACACGACTACAGCCCCACAGCCAAAAGCCGAGATCGGGCACACTACAGTTATGACCGTTGGATCAAGAACACGTGCGTTCTGAGAGTTCTATTGGATTAACTGACCATGAGAATGTATGGAAGTCATGAAATGGCGACTAGTGGATACAGATTTGAAATGAAGGTTGACAAGTTGACCGAACTTCTGCAGGTGATATGGCCAGCCGGGAACGATGTGAAATTCCGGAAAGGTGTATTTACGAGGGTTCTCATGTGGAAGAACCAAATGACTCACGCAGGACAGGACCCCTTTCAACACACTCTCAGCCAGCTTTTAACCTCGTTATGAAACTGCTTGTGCTAAGCTGCGAAAGGATAGAACATTATATTTATCACCATTGAAGGTTTTATGTTTCTATCTTACGATAGACCAGTGGTTTGAGTTGTAGGTATACAGGTATACCCCCCAAATGGCCATTTGCCTAGAGACAATGATGATTACATAACTAGTCAGTGGATGTTCTTAATTTCTCGGTACCAGTTAGCCAGTTGCCAGCTGCCTGAAAGTCACCAGACTACCAGACTTCTCACTGCCATCCTGAGGTTATCTCTATGATCGATTTAAGCATTGGCATCATCGGCATGCACCGTAGCGTTCGCTCGCTTTGGTCCGCCGGGGAAGCCACGATGGGTAACCCAAGTTTCAGAGACACAGACAGGGAAGCCCACGAGTTGTGTAGGACCCTATGGGATATGGCTCACAAAAAACCTGATCCGCATTTTGGGAAAATAGCGAAAAAAACATATGTGCTTGTGCCCTGATGGTTTAAGCCATACCCATGTAATCCCATATGCCTAAATATACAGTACTAATTCTGCAGTGGGTTGTCAAATAGATTGTCTTGAAAAAAAGGTTGCACCGAAATAGGGGATGTGTTTATCTCCCCCAGGATGACGAGGATGCTTCACTACCTCTTGCAAACGATTGCAACCGCATGTGAGAGCCTTGAAAATGCAAAACAAACAAAACTAGGTTTAGAAGATGATGTTCCCCACAATTCCCCACCATTTCCCACCTTTCTCCACCTGAACATCGCAGTCTTTCAGGGACATGTCCAACCGTGGGAGAATGACATGTATCGGATAGGAGTAAAGGCAGACTTGTTTATTGCCATGTCAGTGCTTCCAGGTTAAATCCAAGAGCACGGCGCTGCATTGGTATTCATTTTGCGGTCATGCTGGTAGATTGTGGGAAGAAAAAAT